GGCTCAGGCCGGGGGGGGCTCCCCAGATGCAGGCTCCCCAGCATCTCGCCCCCTGCTCCAAGCCCCCATCCCCGCCCCCCCAGCCCCAAACAGTCCCAGCATCACCACGGGGGGCCGGGGGAACAGCAGCCCCCCCTTGGGGGTCCCACAGCCCGCAAGGAAGGTCCGGGGGGGGTCAGCAGGGGGGGTAGGGGTGGAGAGCACCCAGCCCAAGCCGGGGTGCCCCCCTTCCCCTCCAGGCGAACTCGGGGAGTTTGCACCCCCGCCGGCAGCAGCGAGCCCCTTTGGGGTGCCCCAGAGCATGGCACCCTAAATGCGCCCCCCCCCCTCCCCCAAAAAAAAAAAATCCCCCCCCGCCCGCTCCTCCTGCCCCGGGCACCGGCGACTCACCCGCGGCGGCGGCGGCTCCGGCAGCTCCCCGCCTCCTGCTGCTGCCCTGCCTCCTCCTCCTCCTCCTCCTCCTCCTCCCCCTGCCCTCCTGCTGCCTCCTCCTCCCCCATCACCCCTCCTCCTCCTCCTCCTCCCGCTCCATCACCCTTCCTCCTCCCCCTCCTCTCACCCCATCACCCTCCTCTTCCCCCATCACCCTTCCTCCCCCTTCACCCTTCCTCTCCCTCCATCCCCCTCCCTCCCCCACCCCCCTTCCCCTCCCCCAGCTCTGTTCCGCTCCCTTCCTCCCCCCCCCCCCCAATTCCCCCCCCTCCATCCCGGCCGCTGCAGCCCGGGACAAAGGGGTTGATGCAGGGACACTGCGGGGACAAGGACGCGAGGCGCCCTGCCCTGGGCACTGCCCACCCCACAGTCTGGCTGCTTCCTAAAATCCAGCCCCTGGAGCTGAATACAGACGTTATGGGGCCCTACAAACCCCCCCGCCCTACACCCGCACCACCGGGGCTTCTCCTCCTCTCCTGGTGGGGAGAGGGAAGGGGGCGGCTGGAGGGGGGAGGCTGCGAGGTGCCCGGAGCTGGACCCCTTCCCTAATCCCCTACCCCTGACCCTACAGTTCTCGGAGGTCCCATTACCAGGAGAGGGCCTGAGGATGATGGAAGGGTGAAGAAGGATCACATCTTGGCCCTCCAGACCCCAAAGGGCACAGCCTCTGGGGGACATGTACTGCCTGCAGGCACCGGGCACGTCCTTGGCTCTGCTGCTCCCTGCAAAACTGCACGGGACCAGGAGCAGCACAACCAGGAGCAGGGCACCCAGGAGCAGGGCACCCAGGAGCAGGGCACCCAAGAACTCCCCACACTCAGCAGCCGGTGGAGCAGGGTCCCCACGGTGAGCACCCCACCGCCAGCAGCAGTGCCGCCCCCCGTCTCCCCTTCCCGACCACTTCCAGCCGCCACCGCGGCTGAGACTGCCCCGAAAACACTGGCTGCAGCCCGTGGGCGAGCCTGGCGCTCCCCCACTTCAGCAAGTGCCACAAATTGCAGTTTCTGAGAAACCTCCACCCCAGCGCCGAGGCAGGAAATCCAGCCTCGGTCTGCTTACGCTGCAGCTGTGCGCAGCTTTCTGCTAGATTACGCCGCGTTTTATGACTTAAAAAAAAAAAAGCCTTAACCCCTATCAATGGGCATTAGTGCTTTAATCTCCCTAATCTCCAGGAAAATCCAGCGCTCGATGCCAGAGCGGGCTTGCCCAAGCAGCAGCGGGGGCTGCTTGTGGGACGCTCCAGCCTTGCGAGAGCTCGGCACGAGGCAGGAGAGGGACGTGGAGCTGGGGAGCGGCGCTGCCCGGCTCCATCGGGAGCTTCCCAGGGGAAGCAGGGGAGCGAGAGCCCGGCTCACCCCGCTTTGCAGCCGGGCCCCTCTGCTCCTGCCCACGCAGCGGCACGTCTGCAGCTCCACGCAGGTGGAAGCACCCAGCCCCAACCTACCGCCAGGGTCCTCCCCGCGGTCGCCGCAGCTCTGCAAAGCCATTAGGGGCAGGAGGCGAGCTGCCGCGGCGCACAGGCTGCTCTCCAAGTCAACTCGTGCAAAATGTTTTGTTTCGACTCAGCGCTTTGCCTCCGCGCGCCTCCTCCTCCTCCCGAGGAGCGCCAAAGGTGGGGGGGGAGCGAGCAGCAGCGAAGGTCAGCGCTGCGGCATCCTTGGGCTCAGAGAAATAAAACCACGGGGCTTTCGTAAGCGTGCCTTTCCTCCCGGCAGTTTGGGGGCTGTCGGCATGGAGGAGGCACCCACACAGGGACGGCAGCAGCCTCCGGGATTTGTTTTCCCAGGGGCATCTCCCTGTTCCCAAAGCAGGAGCCCTGCTGCACTGCTTCTGCCCGTGCCCATTCCTGGCTCGGAGCTGGGAGCGAGCAGGGGGGAGGGAGGCAGCCTCATCCCTGCCTTAAAACGAGGAGGAGAAGCATTAAGCGACTTGCCCAAGGTCACACACAACTTACAGCCGCATCCAAACCCCCGGCTCAGAGCTCCTAACCACAAAGTCATTGTTCTCCTCTGAAATAAAATCAAATAGAAGCACAGGGTTAGGAGCAATTCTGGCGAGGCCCTGCTGGTGTTGTAAGCACCAGGGGATTTGAACTGGCTGCAACGAGTTCTGGGGGAGATCCCAGCCATTGTCCTTTATCTTGCACCAGAGAGCTGCCCAGCAGCAGGGCCAGCCCTGGGCACAGCCACCCGGCTCCACCGCTGCCCAGCACTGGGGAAGACCCCAAACCTGCAGGCGAAGGCAGCTTTACCAGGACTCACCGGCCTGCGAGGGGGACCTGCACCAAATCCCTGGAGCACAGGGAGGGGGGACAGCTTTCCCTGGGTGCACGATGCAATATTGGCGATATTCACCACGCTGCGCCCCGCCGAGCCCCGGCACGAAGTGCAGCGTTTGGGCTTCGCAAACATTTTGTATTTCCTAATGGTGCAGCCGTGCTGACCACCCGCACGGCCCCGCTGACTCCGGTGGATGCGCCAGGCGCTCAGCCACCCTGGCAGTGTATTGATGCATTTACCTTCCCAGCTGTATTTATCATAACCCCGAATCAATAGCAGAAGGAAAAGCACAGCCAGAGACCCGGGGGGAGCACCAGCAGATGCTGTCGAAGCAGCGTGATCGTGGAAAAGGACATGGCCTCGTGGATCAGAGATCCCAAAATTGAACACCAAAAGAAATCATCCCTGCCAGCAAGAGCAGAGCATTCCTCATTGCCAGCAGCACCTCAAGCAAAGCAGCTCTCCCCAGCAGCCCTGCTGCAGGCCTGCCCCAGCCCCCAGGCAGGAAGCACTGGGGCTGATAAGCCCTCGGTGCCCTCTGCACATCCCGAGGGCCCCGTGGTGCAGAGCCCAGCGCGGCCCCGGCGTCTCCTCCCTCCCACCAACACCCCCTCGTCCTTCCGTGTCCCCCCCCCCCGAGGGACACCGGGAGCAAGCGGCTCCTCTGGCCCCAGGAAGGCAGGAGGGAGGCAGGCAGGAATTATTTCGCACGCGTGCAGCTGGCACCGCGTCCTTGGCACGAGTCAGCGCCGCATGGGGAGGCCGCACCTCAGCACCCTGCCCTGCCACAGCTCCTCGCCGTGCTCGAGCAACCCAGCGTTTTCCAGCAGGGAAGGGACTCTGCTGGAAGCTGCTCCAGGGTCACACATGTTTGGAAAAAAAAAAAAGCAGGAAAAAAAAAGTTCATCTCAACATCCTCCCGCTTGCAGGGGTAATATTGCTGCTGGCGTGCCAGTTCGGACAGAGGCAGAGGGCACCTGGGATCTGCTCCCCCGATGTCACAGATTTGGGCACAGATTGTGCTCGTTGGGGGCTGATCAGTCTTTGTGCACTGATGGCTGTGTCTGAGAGGGACCTGGGACAGATGGCACAGCCCAGAGGGAAGGAAAGGCACCTCGCTCTTGTGCCCGGAGCGACGGGTGGGATGGAGACACAGGAGCATGAGGCGCGCTGCTCCCTGCCCGCAGCCCCCGGGGATGTCAGCCAGCCCTGCTCGGTCCCAGCTGTGCCGGGGCCGGTGGCCCTTGGGGTTGTGCTGGCCCCGAGGCCTCTCCCAAGCCCTGCGTGGGGCCAGGGTCAGCGGGATAATTGGGTGCAGCTGCGGGGTGCTGCAGAGCACGGCCGCGGCCGTTTGCCTCGGGGCAATCGCGTCTCTGCGTGTAAGGAGCGGAGGGGCACGGGAGAATGCAGTGGGCATCCCTCAAAATCCTAAAGGGCGGCTGTCGGGGGCCCTACCAACTGCTCCTGGTGTTGGTTTGACTCATCTGGGATCCCAGCAGGGAAATCCCTGCTCTGCCCTTACCGGGAGCTGCCCCGATAACCAGCATCGGGCACGGCCACCTTCAGTCGTGCTCGGCCACAGCAGGTCAGTGTGGAGGAATCATTAAGTGAGGCAGGACATGTGAATGTTGAGCAGTTGGGAGACAATGGGCTGGTGAAGCACCGTACTCAACTCACATGAGCCTTGGCACGTACGCCGCTGGCTGAGAGCCAATCAGGCTCAAGGACACAATGCCCTTGGGCCATCGGGAAAGTCCCTAAGGTGGGACAAGTAGCCAAAAGAAGGAGGACCAGACTGAAAAGCCCGGGAAGTGTTAACCAATCCTGAGCTTAGTTTCTGCAATATGTATGAGTTGATTATGTTCGAACTAGATAAAAGACGACTGAGCTATCCATTAAAGTTGAAGTTCACTGATCACTCATATTGAGCGTCTGGGTCTTCCTTCCGTCGGCAACAAATTGGCGCCCGAACAGGGACAAGTCTGAACAGGATTTGGACACTGCTGGCAGTGATCCAGGGCCACGGTTGGACGGAATAAAGGAGAAGCCGGTCCTGCAACGCAGCCCAGGAGGTGGAAGGGACAAGAATCCCCGCACCCGCGCCGGGAAGGTGAAAAGGACGTGGGAGTCCCCGCACCCGGGATGAGCCTATTTAGGGTCCCGCCGGAAAAGCGCCGCCGAGGTCTTTGCAAAGGCTGCAATCGACGTATATAAAGGTATGAAAAGATAAGCGGCGTATTATTTGCTCAAATGCTTTTTAGAAAAGCGGAGCATTTTAGATACAGATTGTAGAAAAAGATTTGCCAAGGTTATTAGTATATGGGCTAGCTAAAGGTTGTTTTACAAGTCCTGATACAGTTTTTGAACAAACAGAGTGACGTAAATTTGGAAATAAATTGTTTGATGATGTTAGGAACGATGTTAAGTTTACTGGGAGATTTGATGAGGCCATGGAGAGTAGTGGCTAATGCATTAGCCACACATAAAGATGAACAAAGAGTTGCCGCTGCTGCAACAGAGTGGTCAGGACCACCAAGCAGGGTTAATAGTGTTAATCCACAGCAAATAAATATGGAAGGAACAGATTGCCCGTTGCCACCTTCCGTTAGAACTTCTACTATTACACAGGGGGTCTCGGGAATTTCGGGGGTGCCTGTGACAATGTCCTCTGTAGCAGAGGAGCTCTCACTACCAACAGCTCCAACTGCTCCAATAGAAAGTGAGAAAGGAGCAAGTGAAAGGACCAGTGCTAACTCATTTCCATCAAATATAAATCCCTTCACAACGGGGGCGCAGGGAAGAGAAGGTCTGCAGCCATCGAAGGCCTTTGCTGTTACGCCCCCTGTTGACCTGAACGTGCCTTTTGACCCAGGCCCTATTGGCCTTGGAAAGGAGCGATGGAGGCAAATAGCAAATGAGGCACTGCATGAAGGGAATTATGAAACGGCAGCACAGTTAACACAAGGTTTTCCGGTAGTATACTCGCCAACAGATGCACAGGGTAATGTGACCGTTAATATGACAAATTTATACTGGAAACTATTAACTCAATTACGATCTACAGTAAATGATTCTGGTTTAAAGGGGGAACCTAGTCGGCAAATGTTAGATTATATTTGGGGAACTAATATATTGCTCCCTGGGGACATACGTGGTATAATGAAGCTGATCCTAACACAACATCAACAGCTTCTTTTTAATGCGCATTGGCAAAGTGTTTGTCAAGAGGCAGTAGCTGTGATAAGGGCACCTGGAGATCCGTTGTATGGTGTCACGTTGGAGGAATTGATGGGACTCGGACCATATTATAGATTAGAGACACAAGCGTTGCTGGGTCCAGACAAAGCTAAAGAATCAATGAGATTGGCTCGAAGAGCCTTGGACCAAATTAGAGAGCCAGGGGGGATACCATCCTATATGGGCATCAAGCAAGGAAGGGAGGAACCATTTGGGTTGTTTATTGATCGAGTAGATCTAAAGGGCACTATTCTAAAGCAGTGTGCAATTCAAAACTGCAACCCTTCAACTCGTAGTATATTAGCTACGTTACCGGGAACTTGGACAATTGAAGAGGGTTTAGAAAGGATGGCTCAGGTACCCGTGGGTCCGCATGCTATGTTGGTAGATGTAATAAAACAACTAGGGAATAGCATGAAAGAACAGGCACAGGTATTCAGAGAGACTGCACAGCAATCGCAGAATCAAGTATTCGCTGCCCTTGCTCCTTTGCAAACGCCCGGAGGCCATCCTACTGGCCGAGGGTCTTCACTGCAACCGCGTTGTTTTCGCTGTGGGATCACCGGACATAGGAAACAAGAGTGCAAAACGAGATCAGTGTGGTGTCATCTGTCGGTATGGTGCGTCGGGAAACGGCCAGAGCAGCGGGAAGGACTGCCCCGCGATGACACAAAAAGCGGCCTTTACCACAGCGGCCGGAACGACACCGTTTACCTCCGACCAGTCACCAGAGGGAGTCTCGGCTTGGATTTGGCAACAGCAGTAGATGTAACGCTATTGGACTCTAAACCCACCAGGGTAGGAACAGGAGTTATGGGACCAGTTACTGTCAATGGTGATCCTGTAGGAGCTTTATTGATCGGAAGATCGTCTGCTACCTTGAATGGATTACAAATATTGGTTGGACTTACAGATAAAGACTATTGTGGGGAAATACAGATTATAGTTTCTGCAATGTTTCCTCCAATGCATGTGCCGCGGAATACAAAGATAGCTCAATTAATTCCGTTGCCACACCTTGCAGCATCTCTACCACCGATGGTCAATAAGGACCAAGGACTCGGAGCATTTGGCTTCGCAGGAAAAATAGCGTTATTAACGCTTGGCATGCAGCAGAGACCACGACAAAAAATCACAGTATGTTTAAAGGATGAGAAACTGCAAATTGAGGCATTGTTGGACACTGGCGCAGATGTGACAATAATCATTGCGCAAAGTTGGCCACCGCATTGGCCTACATTCGAATCAAGTCTACAACAGAAAAATGACTTAACACTGACCTTAAAACAAATGGGACTCATACTTGCACCGGAAAAGGTTCAGGAGACAAGTCCCTGGAAGTTTTTGGGTTGGAAAATTACAGATTCCACCATTCAGCCTCAAAAACTTACAATCCAATCAGATATCAAAACTCTTAATGATGCTCAAAAACTGCTGGGAGATTTACAATGGATCAGGCCAGTAGTCGGGATTCCGAATGAACTGTTAAATCCCCTTCGGCCGTTATTAAAAGGAACCGATCCTGCTTCAAAAGTGACACTATCAGAAAAACAACAAGAAATACTACAACAAATCGCATCTTTGATCACAACGAGTGTCACGCATCGACGTATATCTGATAAGCCACTCGATCTTACCGTTCTATGTGGCTCAAAATGCCTGATGGGTGCCATAACACAGCAAAAAATAAAAACGGGGGAGAAGGGAGGAGAAACTGTGGTATTAGAATGGATAGCTCCTCCGTTCCAACCTCGACGAAAAATTCAAGAAAAAATTGCAACATTAGCAGAATTAGTAAAGAAGGGGAGGAATCGAATATTGCAAGTGGATGGGGTTCCTCCAAATATTATCTGGTTACCCATGAAGCCAGGCGACTTGGAATGGTATATACAAAACTCTGAAGAGTTACAAGCTGCACTACTACAGGATGGCGCTACTATAGTAGCAAAAACCTTACAATCAACTTCTCTGACATGGATGGAAAACCAGGGATGGATAACTAAGCCAAAACGATCGTCTATCCCACTTAAGAATGCAGTGACAGTTTTCACTGACGCAGGAAAACGTTCTCAAGCTGCTGCAGTGACTTGGAAGGATGAGCATGGTTGGAAACACCAAATTTTACAAGCCCAAGATAAAGACTCATTAAGGGCTAATGGAACAGTTAAGCAGTACTTGGAAAAGTTTAAAGACATTACAGATATTAGAGAGAGGGTGGATAAAACCTTATTTGTTCTCAATCATTTGTGTGTATTTGGAGATGATGAGGAACCACCCGCGACATGTCATTACATTAAGTCTGAAAATGATAATAAATGTATTATGAGAGTACTGTACCAAGATATGAAAACGGGACAATGGCTGGGGCCTGCTGATGTGATTTATATGGGGCGAGGTTATGTGTGTATCTCTTCCCCTACAGGGCCAACCTGGGTTCCTAGTCGATGTGTTAAACCAGCCATTGAAGAAAAGTCATCAAGTACGAATAACAGCAACCATGGCTGATCTAACGGCACAAGGGATTTTGGTTGCATTATCTTTGACAATGACGGTTGGACGTAATAGTGCCATCCTAAGCAAAATCGATCCTCAAACCAATATATGGGTCACTTGGGCAAAACAAACCGGACAAAGTTCATTTTGCCTATTCCTCACTTCTGCGTCTGATCCTTTCGTTGATGAGTTGATTATGTTTGAAATGGTTAAGGGATCATACGCAAAAAATTGTAGTACAAGATAGTTGGTTTGAAGGTTGGTTAAAATCTGTTTTTGGGAACATGGGCGGATGGTTTTTTCTTCGTCAAAGAGGAACTTCGTTTTCTACTTATAGTTATATTGATTATAGTTGCTGCAAAATAAAAACGGGGGAATTGTGGAGGAATCATTAAGTGAGGCAGGACATGTGAATGTTGAGCAGTTGGGAGACAATGGGCTGGTGAAGCACCGTACTCAACTCACATGAGCCTTGGCACGTACGCCGCTGGCTGAGAGCCAATCAGGCTCAAGGACACAATGCCCTTGGGCCATCGGGAAAGTCCCTAAGGTGGGACAAGTAGCCAAAAGAAGGAGGACCAGACTGAAAAGCCCGGGAAGTGTTAACCAATCCTGAGCTTAGTTTCTGCAATATGTATGAGTTGATTATGTTCGAACTAGATAAAAGACGACTGAGCTATCCATTAAAGTTGAAGTTCACTGATCACTCATATTGAGCGTCTGGGTCTTCCTTCCGTCGGCAACAGGTCAGAGCCAAGCAACGGGCACCAAACTCAACCAAACCCAACCCAACCAAACCGAACCCAACCCAACCAAACCACCTCCTCACACCCTGGGCAAGGGAGCTGGGAGCTTCCCGGGAGCCATACAGGCACTTTGGGTTTTTAACAGCCCTGCTACAGGCGGCGATCGAGCCCTCAGCTCCCCTGCTCCAAGGATGCCTCTGCCCCAGCCTGTGCCAGCGCCTGGCTGGGCACCAGCCCCACCTCACTCCTGCTGCCGGCCCCGTAAGGGCTGCTTTTAGGGTTTTTGGTACTGGGGAAGGACCCCGAGCCCACCCTGCCCCCTGCTCACCTCCTGCAGCACCGCTCGGGGAAGGTCCTGGCGCCCAGCACAGGGCCGTACACCAGCAGCTCTGTGTCCCCCCCCGGTCACAAGGGGTTAACGCGCTGCAGCTGGGCCAGCAATGCTGCAGGACAAAGGGAGGCTTCATGTCCTGCCATCCGCCAGCGCAGACGAAGGGGCCCTAATCCGATTCCCAAAGAAAATGTGGCTTTTACAGCCCCGCGCAGCGGGCTGGGAACCCACGGCCAGTGGAACCCACCGGGGGGAGGCCAGAAAGCTGAACATAAATCATTCTGCACCAGGAGGGAGAGCTGGATGAAGGTGACAGCCCCTGAGCAGTGCTGGGGAACAAGGGGGACACGTCCCCAGATCCCCAGCATCATTTTTCTGCCATTTACCCCAGGCTGGAGGCAGCGCTGCCCCCAAACTCCACCTGGGTGCCCCGCGCACACAGAGCCCCCTGCCAGCCCAGAGCCCCCCCCAGCCACAGCAGCTCCTTCACAGGGGGATTTTCAGCAGATCTGGGGAGAGAGGCTGCGACCCCGGGGCCACCACCCAGCCTGCGAGCCAGGGACAGCACCCACACGTGCTACGGGGGCAGCAGGAGCATCCCCACACCCACGGGACACACGGGATTTGTGCCGCTCGTGCTTCTGTTACCCTGAGACACCGCCTGCCGTATGTCTGCTCCCAGCAGGATGTGTCTGCTCCCCCAGCAGAACCTCTCTTCTAACGGCTCTGAGGCTGGGTACATCCCCCTGGAGCTGCCCACGAGCCCCGTGACCCCACAGGTATTCTGCTCTCAGCACAGAAAGTCATGCAGCGTAACCACAAAAGCAGCACAGGGGCCCCAGCTCCCCGAGCTCTTGGCTACGCAGCCCTCCACGTGCTCCACACGTTTGTTTTGTTTCTTTTTTTTTGTCCCTGACGTCCTGAAGGGCCCTGAAATGGGGCTGCAACCGGGGCACGCATCCTGGGTGCATGATGGGGCTGTTCCCTACCACCTGCAGCCACGTCTGCACAGGGAAGCAGTCCGCAGGGGTTCACACGTACCCGCGGCGGAGGCTGAGCCCGACAGAGGCAGCTCGTGCTTTCACAAGGCGGTGCCCAAGTCATCGCTCGGCTCAAAACCACAAACTCCATCAAGCGTTGCCTGCGCATGCAAATCTCTCATCGCCCCAGCCAGGCCCACGCACCCTGCGGGGGAATTCAGGCAAACAAACGCCCGGCCCTAGTGCCGGGGAGCACGGACCCTCCGGCAGCGGCACACGAGCTGGGGCTGCAGCGCCGCTCCCTCTCTGCCCCACGCAGCATCTGCACAGCCCAGCAGTGGGAACGCCAGAAAATAAAGCAGCTCGCTTACCACACGGGATAGTGGCCCCCAAAGGCGCCTGGTGCTGCAGTGAGATGCTCCTGAGCTCCTCTGATCCGTGCGGTCACACAAGTCCACCCCCAAAAGCAGCGAGCGTGAGCCCAGCTCGTGGTGCACGGCACAGAGCGGGCTGCAAAGAGGAGCAGGGACCTGGGATGTGCACGAGGGCAGCCACCACGACGCTCCGTCAGTGCCCCCTGGCCCTAAACGATGAAAGCCACAGACAGACAGCTCAGTGTGCCGCAGCACGGCACCAACAATGGCCCCGTTGGCGCCCAGCTGCTCCTCAGCCCCGAGCGGGGCAGGCAGCGCCTTCACGGAGCCGGAGAGCTCTCGGCCCTGAGCGTGTCCAGCCAGACCCACCCCGAATGCTTCTGGTCTGGTTGCACAAGGGGCGGATTTAGCCAGCGAGGACTGAAGCTGTCCAGAACAAGCCCTTCCCAGGCAGGAGCCCCCCGCTGCGTGTAAAGGTGCCGGGTGAGGACACGCGCCCTGGGGACAGCAGGGAAAGAAAGAACATTGCCTGCAGGCACGGGCCATGAAACTTCAGCTGCACAGCTGGCTGGGCTGGTACCCCGCTCTGCCTGCACCCCAAGCTGCCTGCACCCCGAGCTGCCCATGAGCAAACCCGGGACAAACCGCGCTCAGCGCATCCTGAGGGTTCCCGTCGTGCCACTTAAACACACGAGTTCCCGCTCTCCCACGATCGTTGTGCAAGCAGCCGTCCCGAGTGGCAGGAGAAGAATAAGGAGCTGTTATTAAAATATTATCCTAAAAAAAAGAAGGAAGAAAAGCACCCCCTCCCCAGCTGTGACGGTTCCCACTGATGCATGCTCCTGATGCACAAGCAAGGCAGCCGTGCACCCCGTGGAGCAGGCAGCGCTCACCGGCCTGCGGCACGGCGCTGGGAGCTGGCAGCAGGATCAGGGCCTGTGCTGCCCACCCCAGCCCCAAAAGCAGCCCAGGAGAGGCTGGATGGGGTCGTTCCAAAAGAGCCAGTTCCAGAGAAAAGCAAAGGGGGATGGGGAGGGCGACACAGGAAGGGCCCCCCTGTGGGGCCGGCGCCCTGGGGCAAGAGCCCAAGCATTTCCCCAGCTGGAAGGAATTAGCCCTGCCCCTCCCCCTGCCTTTTCTTTATTTTTTATTTTATTTTTGGGGGGTTTCCCCAGGCTCAGAGGGGCTCTGAGGTGCCTGCAGACTGCCCAGCCTGAGCACAGCCCTGGGCACAGCCCGAGGACCGGCAGTTCTGCTATGGGGAAATCCGTCCTGTCAGCAACTGCGTCCCCTCCACAGGCAGCAAGTCGGGGTCCCAGGACCCCTCCAGCTTCCTTTAAGCCCCCCCTCCTTTCCCCCCCAAGCCCTATCATCCCCTCTCCACCACCAGCCTCCAGTGCAGAGGCCGCCAGCCCCCCTTACGCAGCCGTGCAGGCTCCCCGGGGCGCTGCAGGGCCGGGTTTTCCAGCAGCGGCAGCGCAGGAGCCACGCCAACACAGACGGCGGGGCCGACACGGGCACGCACGTGCCAGGCAGGCGAGGCTGGGAAAGGAGCCCCCATTGCTCAGAACCAGCCTCTGCGACCCCGTTTTCCTGCTCCCCGGGTGCTCCAGCCCCGCAGGAGGCCGGTGCTGCCTCCCCCTAAGCCATGGGCACAAGCCCGGTGCCCACCCCGGCGCGCAGAGCCACGTGCTCAGAAAATCCTCCCCGTCCCGCAGGCCCTGACAAAGCGTTTCCCTGTGCCGACGCCTGCATCATGCCCCTGGTATTTCTCCCTCGCTTCCTCCCCCGTGCTCAGCCACTGCTCTGCTCCCCCCTCCTGCCCTTTCCCTTCCTGCGTGCGCCCCTCGGGCTCCAACTCGCCTGCACTGAGCCGCGGAGACCCCAGCCCGGCCCTCGCCACGGGGATTTGCTCCCCAGGGTTCGGGGATTGCTCGGGCAGAGACTTACGCAGCCGGGGAGCAGGGGAAGGCCAACGCTCGCCGGAGCTGAGGATGCTGCAGCGCCCGTCCCTGCTGCCCCCCGCCTACCAAGCACGTGGGCCCGCTGCGTCCCGGCTCCCCGCCCCGCGTCTCCCAAACTTCGGAGGAGTTTTCGCCCAGTTCCCCTCGCACGGGGCTGGCGAACCAAATCCCTCCTGGCTCGCTGCCTGCCTCGCAGCCAGACATGAAAAGCACTCGGGTTTCTCCCAGGGCAGCGCGGGTAAATCCTGCCAACATCAAAGGCAGCACAGAGGAGCTCTCCCCCCCCGTGCAGCGAGGCCGGGGCTGCCTCCTCGCCAGGCACGGCTCCGTGGTTAAGGTGCCGGCTGCACCAGCACTCGAGACGTGGCTGTGATTTTTTTTTTCTGTCTCTGTTTTAAACTCAGCCACACATTTCCTGGGTAACTTGGGGCAAATCAGAGCCCCACAGCAAATCAGAGTCCCACAGCAGCCAGGGAGTGGCTGCTGTGGGTCTGCCCGCTGTCTGCCACCCGGGCAGTGGCTGCTACCGAGGAAAACGGGATTAAAAAAACCTCCTGGGTCGGTCCTGGGTGCTCACTGCCCTGACTTTATGGGAAACCTGGAGTCCAGGGAGCAGAAACTCAAGCACGCAGGAGCGAGTCAACACATTTTGGCGGTGTGACCCTGCCCAGAAAGAAGCTCTGCAGCTCTGCGCCTCCATCTGCAGAGCAGAGCCTGCCGCGTCTCGCCCCTTTGCGCTTTGACCAAGTGCAGCAGAGCAGGGCGAGGAGGGGGCTGTCTGCCCTCCTGCAAACGGGCAGCAGGATCCAGCTCCAGGCGATGCTCTGGGAGCGAAGCCGTGCACGCAGCTTCCACTCAGCACCAACCTTCGTGGCTTCGGGAGGTGCGGAACACCAGGAAATAGCTTCCAGCTCCGCAGGGATTTACAAGAGCCGGAGCAGCACATGGTTTCTTGGCCCACGTCGGAGCGCTGCTCATCCCTCCATC